ATTTTCTAGAATACAGAGAAATTAGTAAGCAAGATGACAACCAAGAAAGTGTGGGGGGTGGACACAGGCATTTTTACTTCATATTTTACTTAAGCTTATGAAAAAAAAATCGCCAACTGATAAATCGTTCTGACATTATAAATAATCTTTCATCTTCTCTGGTGGTCTGTGAGGTTCACATAATTGGAGGGTTGAAAACCTTTTTTGTTTCTTCCTTCTTCGCCATGTCATTAGTGTTGTAGGAGACCATAAAAAAGTACAGCCAGAAGGGGTTTAACTGTTCCTGAGTCAACATTTGACAGTCACACTCTATTCTGTCATTTCATGCATGTGCTTTTTATGAGTTTTATAGCTTTGTGAGCTTTATTTCAGGGATGTCCATTATGATAGCTGATCCACAGCCCATCTCTCTTTGTGTGTGTGTGTGCGCACACGCCTGGTGGGGAGCGCAGCTCATCCTAATTTCAGGGAATAATACAAGAACCATGTACTCATGCACTGTTTAACTTAGGGTCAGGTAACTAAGGAAATAGCCACTTCCTCCAAAGTACAATTTGAGTGTTTTTTGTTTTCACTGCTGTGTGAAATATCAGCACAAGATGTCCATTTGAGCCTTTGCAAACACAGTGATTTTTCAGATTTTTTTTGTATAAAATAAATTGATAGTGTAGGGAAAAATTGAATTTCACATAAATATTATGGAAATGTTGCTGATTATGCCTGAGTACGATGCAGAAAAAAATTTTTAAAAATTAAATGCATTATAGTAGATGATACACAATAGGGGGAAAAACTCAACAATTTTTAGAGATGATAAAAATCCGTTTTTTAATGTACATTTACTACCCTGGCCATAGGCAATAAATGATCATGACTTAATAATAGGGACATAATATGCAAATTGAACTAGTCATGTAATTCTTTTGTGTTAAGAGGAAGATGTTATGGTTTTCCAGTTTTATCCATTGAGTTTTTGTTCCAGTATTGAAATCATATCTTTCTTAATACTTTCAAACTAATGAGACTGTTATATATTTAAATCCTACTTAACAAATTAAGATTCTAGGAATCCAGAGTGTTAACTGATTTGTCTAAAGTAATATGGGTAATATATATGACAGAGTTTGGTTAAAATATCATGCTCATGATGATGCCAAAACCATCATTTTCTAATCTTAGGTATATCCTCTTCCCATCAATCCCTGTGTCCCTTTGCCTTTCAAAGTGGTTTTTGCTCTTAAGTATGGATCCACAGTAACGACTTCTAATTGACCAAGTGCCCCCTTATCCTTGGCTATTTCTTGGCTGTCCTTGTTGATTGCTACCATCGCCCGATGTCATGTGCAAATGGTACACATGCTGTTTTCCATTATGCAAGTCATTGGATAAGCAACACAGCCCCAAGGCCAGCTGCCAAATTCCCCAAGTGAATATTAATACATTAATTGTAGGTCTTTAGATGTTGAGCTTAAGAATTATTCTTTTGGGCCCAAGAAGTGATATGGGCTGCAACTCTGTTTTCTTCTTCAGATGAGAAAGGATTCTCTGGGCTCTTTGTTGACGTCAACATGGACGCAGAAGATTTTTCGGCTAAAAAGCAGACTTAACCTAACCTTTCCCCTTGATCTCAGCAAAGCAACAGAGTTGTATAGAACTTGATTAGTCAGATAGAACTCCTCTTTCCAAAGGAATTCTGGTTGTTATCCAGTTGCTAGTTTTCATCCCAAATAGAAAGCAAACAGGGTCATCTGGTTTGCCCTTGTAAACAAATCCCCAAGACTCTTTGACTTCGACTGCTTTGTAGTAATTCATCTTCTTTCACCCTCTATTCTAAGGTTACTCAGAGAAGTATGGAACTGTGGCAAGCATTTCTTTAAATGTGTTTATGTCTCTCTGATTCTTCTGCTCTTTCTAATAGAAAGAAGGTGGGGAGAGATCTATGCATCTCACCTGTTTCAGATCAGCATTTGCATAGTAACGAGAGCACAATAAAGTGCTAGTGTTATAGTGGATTTCTGTTCTAGAGTACTGATAATACCTAGGCACTGGGTACTAGAGTACTGATAATACAGGGGTGGTATTTGTACAAAGTTTTGAATAATATGATTTTTGTCAGACAGTTGGAACTAAGATTACAAGGTTGGTACAAATTGTCACCAGTGCCCAAAAACATCTGCGTCTAGTTTAAAAAATTTAATTTCTTTAGAGTTCCCCATTTTCAACATCTTTCCACTTATCCCCTTCCTACTGTTTTCATTTTGTCTCAGCTGCCTCTATTTAGAAAACTAACTGTAAGAATTTTGAGAATTACAATCTTTCCATCTCCAGTAGCATTAGCACATACAAAAGAGGCTTTTGGAAAAGGACATATGTAACCTAGGAATATAATCTCAAATGGTTGATTTGTATACACGGTAGTGCAGAGGTGAACTCTTGTCGAAGGGGGTTGGCTGGGGACAGGTGAGATTAAAAGGAGTGGGGTGAGAGAAATCTTGCTAGCGTACCAGCATTAGTAGTTTATAACATCTGCTTGATTCCTTGTAATCCTATATACTAAGATAGATAGAACTCAGTTTAAGAACTATTCTTAAATCCACCTCATTGTTTTGGTGGCTCAATATATTAGCAAGGGTTATATCCAAATATAAATTTATATCTACTACTTTGTGAACTCTACCTATAGGTTAAATACTCATATGGAATTATATGGTAATTGTTTTCCAATTAAATTGTTATTATCTCCTCCTTACACTGGTCCCTTTATATCTTTTGAATTTATTGTCCACCAGTATTTCTAAAATGTGACAATAGTAACATTTGATTTACATGCTACTATAATGTGTTTTAATTAAAGACACCCAACATATTCTCCTGTTCCTCCAACTGTATCCCTTTTTCCCTCTTCACATGTCTGAGAACGAGCATAAAATCACCATGTAAAAGCATAAGAAAGAGTGCAGCTTGCCCTACTGACTTCCACTGTTTTTGACCAGCATCCCCTGGCAAGTAATGTCACTCCACTCTGGGGGAGCTAACTGAATCATTTTATTAGTACTGTGTGCTTTCAAGGTATATGGTTAGGGGTAACTTATTGTAAAAAGCAATTGTGAGTTTGCTTCTCATTGTTTGCTAATTCTAGTCCCTTGGTAAGATGGCTCAAATGCACGGAGGTCAACTTAGAAGTCACTTAACATGTCATTCTGTTTCTACTCCAATTACTTTTGTCTGATTTTTTTTTATTCTTGAAAGACTTCACTTCAGAATGGAAAACTCCCTAGAAAATAGGTAATGTTGTTGCACTATGTACCATTAAATCAAACCTTGAGAGGTGGTCCATGCCCAGGACATGGCCCAAAGAGGGTACAGTAAACTCTTCATTGATCTGGGGACTGTCAGATCATGTTGATGTAACTTCCTGTTTTCTTTTTCTTCTAATGGACCTGTCTTGTATTTTGACAGCCACATTTACTGTAAGGAGAGTCTGTCTAGCCAGCGTCCTTGGTGCCCCTAAGCTCAGGCAACACCGTACAGCATACTGTCTTGGGAAAAGAAATCCAGAACATATACAGCAGCTGTGCAACAGTTTCACACACAAAACAAATTGAGTCGGATTCTGTGTTTTCACGTGAATACCTTATTTCAATTTTAACGCTATATGATTCTATAGCTGAAGTTAATATAAATGATCTTCTGTTTCATTTGGCTGCCGGATTTTATGTTGATTGGCGTGTTAACAATGTCTCTGTATTAAATCATGTACAGACTTGGATGACTGGAGCGCAGGAGTTCCAAGGCCACTGACTAGGAGAATTTTACTCTAGCTTGCACAATTGTGGCATTGTCAGAGAATTTGTAGAGATAAAGTGTGTGTGTATTAAGAATCTCAATACCCTATGAGTTCTTGGTGGGCACGTCAGTTAGTCCCTTTACCTGTAATACAATGATCCTAAAAGTGTTGATTATTTTCAGTGAACACTATATTGTAGAAAAGGCAGTTCCTTAGCGTGGTTCACTAGTACAGTTCATGGCTGTGTTTCTCAGAAAATGAGGTGAACAATTATAAAAAAAACTTGAGCAATATTATGAAATCCAATAGATGCTGTTCTTAAAACTGTTGGAACCATATCATCCTTAGAACAGTGGTGGAGAATTCGATGGGAAGTTGTCCGTCTTTCAACGCATACTTTCTCTGTTTCTAAAATTACCCAGCTTCTTAATTTGGAAATATTTTAAGATCCCATGTGGTTTAGATTAAGCATTATTTTTCCTTGAGCATAATTTGGTTTGTAATGCCTTGTTCTCCATGAATGCAAATCATGCTCTGCATGCTTTTTAAGTGACTTGATGTCTTTGCAGATCTAATTTTGGTATATTTGTATCTCAAATAATTCGCCAACTCAATATTTTGGCTTAGCAATCCAAATCAAATTGTGGTCCAAGTAGCAGGCACTCACATTGGATGTACAGAGATTTGACAAGCAATTAGCAATGAATATTTAAACATCTTCATTACCCTTGCATGAGCAATGCAGATGGTATTTAGGGAGATGGCAACCAGAGGGCACTCCTGTGAGTTATGTTTCTATCATTTGGTCACCTGACTATTGGAAGACTTTCCTCTGGGCCTCATGCCACTCCGGTACTTCTACTGTCTGGCTAAAAATAAAGCAGGCATTCCAAATGTAAAACAGGTTGCTTCCTGTGCACATTTTATGATTTGGGAAGTTAGTCTCCCAGGATCCCAACATCTATCCTTAAGATATATCAGGCCCAAATGCCAAGACTTTATAGAGGTCTATAAGAATCAGAGTTCCTTCAAATATCCTGCTGTTCGTTTCCGTTAATGACCTCAGTATAAATTGCTGAACATTCAACGGTGAATAAATCAACATCCCATCCCCTCCAGAAGTGAATGCAACATATATGGACCAAGACAAAAACGTCTTAGAAATAATTGGTATTTCTAGAATGAGCTCTCATTCTGCATTTCTTCTTTTAAGGAAAAAACAACACTGGAGAGTCTGACTCAGCAACTGGCAGTGAAACAGAATGAAGAAGGAAAATTTAGCCATGCAATGATGGATTTCAATATGAGTGGAGATTCCGATGGTTTGTAACAATTCTTCCCATGTATTCCAGTAACGTACAGACATGTCCATGTAGTGTCCATTAAAACTGCTACAAAAAGAAGACAAGACAGCCACCCCATCACCTGACCATTACTGAAATTTCACTGTGTGCTGATAAATCTCGATGCTAGTAACGATTCGGCTGGTCTGTGCAAATTGCTCAGATATATTTCAGGAATGTGCATGTGTCTGTATACTCACAGATACTCAGCAGTTTGCATGTGTCAAGGACAACAGAGTGCTCTGCATTAAGCATCTCATGTAATCCCTAGCACAACTAGGAGATAAGGATATTGCGGGCAAAGAGACCGACCAGTGGTTTTTCAATCATTTTTTCCCCAAGGTCCCCGGGCTCCAAGTGCCAGAGACAGGACTTGATATCTCTCTCACGATTCTAAATTAAATGCTCTTAATCAACCTCTACCCTGTCTCTCACTTCTCTAGTTCTTGCACCCAACACAGGAGTGTTCAAGAAATTGTTACCTATCAGCGCATTTTTAAGTGTCCATTTACAGACCCTGACCAGATCACTTAGCTCAGTGGAGATTTTCAGGATAATCCCTGGTATTCTGGAGCCTGTCCCTCCTTTATTATCTACAACACTGTCCCATGTCCTGCTTACAACTCACCCAGAACTCGCAGACCCAGGACTTCTGCTCTCTGTGCTGTCTCTGAATGTTCTAAACAGCCACAGTGACAATTAATTCAATTGATATTCTCATTTTAATAGCAATGGGGAGGAGGGATGATTTACCAAGTGCTGTTGCTTTCATACAGTGCCCCATCTGGGAGCCTGCCTAGCTAGTATCAGTTACATGCATCCATTTGAAGAACTCCTTTGAGGGCATGGCCCTCACCTTCAGACAAATTACAGAGGCATTTCCCTTCATATAGAAAACACTGCACTACAGCACACTAGGAAGAAGCACACTTTAAGGACAGAGGGTGGGGCCGGCGCTGTGGCATAGCGCATAAAGCCCCTGCCTGCAGCGCCGACATCCTATATGGGCGCTGGTTCAAGTCCCGGCTGGTTCCTTTCTGATCCAGCTCTCTGCTATGGTGGCTATCTGGGGAGCAAACCTGCGGAGCGAGGACCTCCCCCCACCCATCTCTGTAACTCTGCCTTGCAAATAAATAAATCTTAAAAAAAAGAGAAAGAGGGCAACCACTGGAATTCCCCCAATATTCATAGTTTGTCTGCTCGTGGCCAGGTCTATACTAGCCGAAAGTCTAGGCCAAATCTGAATACTTAACAAGTATAGTTCTGTCAAAACTGAATTTTATTTGATTGTATAAGAAAAATCTTGTTGTTTTTATGGTCTAATTTTCCCAACAGTTCATTCTATTTTCTACCTCACTTGGCTAAGATAAACCTGGCCTAAGTGCAATACAAAGAGCCTGTTTAGGTTTGATGAAGTCACATAATGTTCATTTTATTGCTAATATTGCTGTAAGGTGGAAGAACAAGAAAAAGCAGATGTGTGAATGATCATTTGCTAGTTACAGACCCATTTTAGAAAGATGTTGCCATATATTAGCACTGATTTTTGTCAATAAAGAGACAATTACTGGTAATAACACATTTCATAAATTTTAAGTTTTGTTGGCATGATAAAAATATGCCCATGATAATCAGCATTAAAACATCAAAGTCTTCCTGGCTGTTATTTATTAAATTGAATCACGTTCGTGTGCAAAATTTTTCCACTCTTGCTCAGACCGGAGAGTATGCTGTGAATGAGACAGGATGAGAAGCTCTTCCATCAGATGGGCTCTGTATTTTGTTTGCTGCTATCCAGGTCTTCTGGTCTGGGTCATTTGGGTTGATTCCTCTTATTCCTTCAAATAATAGTACCTTTGTTGGTACACAACTCTAGAAAGCCCCCAATGACTTGAAGATTTGTAGACACTGCCAACATACAGCTCCCTCTTCTGTAATGCGAACCTGCTGGCCGTGTTCTGTATTTTCTCCCAGAAATCCTTATTTTCTTTGCCCAACTCAAATATCCTGGAAGCTCTGTAGTCTATGAAGGCATTCACTGATGTCCAGTCAGGCTAGGTGAGTGACCACACTTTCTAAAAGTCGCGGTGTGATTCTCAGGTTATTTCGCTGTCAGTGAATCTTACTGATTGAAACGTAACAGTCAGTGGTTCTCTCTGGATAGCTGTAAATGTTTGGAAAAAAAATTCGGAGGAACACATTGTTTCTCTCACTTAAATGTGGTTGTAGTCTTCTTAAGAAACCATGCTAACGTAACAGTTCTCTTGTGATTTTCCATACCATTTTCAGTTTTTTGTAGGGGCAGACTATCAGTGCTCATCAGAGAAAATATTGTAGTAGTGTTTTTAGTTCCATAAGCACAGAGTGAGGGAAAAGGCCTGAGTACTGTGTGCACTGACCATCTTTAAGCAGACAAGACATAGCCTCCTCTGTAAGCATTCATTCTGCTACAGAGATAAGTGTTTTAGTATTTTGTGAATATCTGCACCTACTTAATATTTCCACAGTGCTGTGGTGTCTATGGCTCTAACCTATTCTCTTTACATACTGAATCAAAAAGCATATATCGAGTGTCTTGTGAAGGCACATAGTGAAATAGTTCTTATTCCATCAAAAGAAAGGGAGAAGACATTGAAGTGGATTAAAAATACAAACACAGCATTTGCTACCACCAGGCTTATCACAGGAACCTCACAAACAAGCATCTGTCTTAGGAACTGCAAGTGCCATTATCGGAAGTACTTTTTGTTTTCAGATATTTTAATAGACCAAAACACAGTCATGCAAGAAAGCGAGCTGCCAGAGACTGTGCCGCTGACATGAAGCAATGTTCCCTGTTTTCAGGCAGTGCTGGAGTCTCGGAATCAAGAATCTATAGGGAGTCCCGGGGGCGTGGCAGCAATGAGCCCCACATAAAGCGTCCAATGAATGCCTTCATGGTGTGGGCTAAAGACGAGCGCAGGAAAATCCTTCAAGCCTTTCCTGACATGCACAACTCTAACATCAGCAAGATTCTGGGTAAGAACTTCTCGAGAACCGGGTGACGTATGGGCATAATGCATTGTTCTGTTTTCTGCAGTTGTAGAAAGATATTGGATCTGGACTCCGGGCCAGTCATGCTCTCTGCTTGTCCGAAAAATAAGCACCCTCATTCAGGCTTCTTCCAATAATTCCTCGAGAAACGTGCCCCACTTCTACATATAATTTAGCCGTGTGTCTCCACACTAGTTATTTTAATGTCTTCCCTTCTGTAAACATCTAGAAATATTTTTTAATAAGACTGACCAAAAGAAAGGTGCTTGGATATGAGCCACTAAGTATTGGTATTACTCTTTTTTTTTTTTTTTTTTTGACAGGCAGAGTTAGACAGTAAGAGAGAGAGAGAGAGAGAGAAAGGTCTTCCTTCCGTTGGTTCACTCCCCATATGGCCACTATGGCCGGTGCGCTGCACCGATCCGAAGCCAGGAGCCAGGTGCTTCTCCTGGTCTCCCATGGGGTGCAGGGCCCAAGCACTTGGGTCATCCTCCACTGCACTCCCGGGCCACAGCAGAGAGCTGGACTGGAAGAGGGGCACCCGGGACAGAATCCGGCGCCCTGACCGGGACTAGAACCTGAGGTGCCGGTGCCGCAGGCGAAGGATTAGCCTAGTGAGCCGTGGTGCTGGCCAATAATTTTTATTCTTTTCCAGTATAAATTGTGAAGAGGCTATTGTCAGTGTGAAGGTTTCCTTCCTATCTCATCATCCTTTGTAACTCAAGGATGAGGAGTTTTGTCTGCGTAATTCGCCATGTTGTGGGGGTGAGGATGGAGGTGGGGATGTTTGTTCTGGGGCCAGGGCTGAAGAGCAGTTTAGATTCTGAGAACAGAGAAGAGGGAGAGTGTGCCTTTTCACATGTGTAGCTCTGGTAACCTTAGGTACCGGCAGTGCTTCAGTAATACTCAGTGAGGGCTCAGAATTTACGGCATTATCGAAAAAGGAACATTGCCCTGGCGTCACAGCTTTCAGCTCCACAGAAACCATGGTGCGCATTCACCATCATACAAAGATCCTGAAGTGCACTGGAAAGGTGGCTGAAGACGCAATGTCCTGGCTACCACGAGACTCCATAGAGAATAGTTGAGAAGGGAAGATTCTGTTTCTGTGACGCCATTTTCTTGACGTCATCATCATTGTCATCCTGATCATTTTCAAGTAGCCTGGTACTCAGGTGACGCACCTTATAATATTCATTCTAAGAGCTAAAACATACAAATATAATAGAAATGCCTCAATTTGGTTTTACTAAGTAATAAGAAATTGTGTCCAAAATGATTGACTGTATTAAAAATATACAATGCACTTGGAATCACTAGTAGTTTATGATGATAACATCCATCTTGATTCTTTGCACTAAAGAACTAGTCATCTAAAAGAATATGCGGTAACTGTACACATATTCTCAACAAAGAAAAAGATGCCACCAGTCCACAACGTCCATCTGTAATAACAGCAAAACCAACAAATAAAAACTGTCATTACGTCTCCATTTTCACCTCGGTGATTTCAGGATGTTTCGATGAATGCTAGCTCAGAAGGTTTGCGGATGCACCGCATTAGATTTACATAGGAATTTGCAAATATTGGTTTTAAAATATCTGTGTGCATAATCAAAAGCTGGAACTGATCAAGAGGAAATGTAGTTTTAGATCTCCACCATCTCTGATCTAGTTTTCCTTTTCATGACTGTATTTTGTGTTTCATATTAAATTTCCCACCCTGACAAAAGCAGCATGCCTACCTCTTTTGGGAACAGTCTAGAAAAGAATGAAATACTGCAAATAGGTTTCATTTTTATTAGTCCCAAATTAGAAATGCAAATTAATTACTAAATCAGATGTCTTAATACCGAAAAAAGTAATAATTTCTGATTAAATCTTCATCTTCAGTATGAGACAAATACTAATTTTGATGACATAAACTTGTGTTATAGGAAAGTTAGCAGCATAAGTGTATGGAAAGCAGATGACCAGCTAAGAGAAGTCCTTTCTGCTCGAAAGGACACCATAGAATGATCACATGATTTCATCACAATAGGAGAGCACAGCCTAATTTTGTCATTTTGATGAAATTATATTGATTAAAGATAGATCATTTGTATTTGAGGAAAAAACACCATGGAAGTATTTTGGATCTCAATATTTAGTCATAGCTTTAAATAAATAGGTGATCTTCAAATATCCACAAGATCATTCTGAATGGCCCATTTCATATAAAAGTACAAAGAAAGCTTGATGTTTTCCTCTTTACTGATTGTTTTGGATAACAGCCTCTGACAGCATGCTGCTAATTCATTCTGCTTAAAACAGGCGCTTGAGCTGGGTTGACATTTTACGTAGTCTCTGGGGATCCTAGTTGACATTTTAAAGGGCTTCTAAGCATTTTATAATACCCTAAAATCTGGTTTTAATAAGCCATTCTGCTGAAATTGTTAACATAAGGAATCACCTTTTACTGTTTGGCGCTGGATCACGAGATGGGGGACATCTTTTTCCGATTAGATATACAGTAGTTGAGTAAAACGTGCAAATTCATTACAGACCCCGTGGAGATGACAACGTTGCTCAGCTCCAACTCCTCCCTGGTCGTGAACTGACAGATTTAGAAAAGGAAAAGAACACTTTTAAGACCCCTTTTCCTCCTTATGTTGAGCATCAAGTAATTTTGAACGCAACTTCCCCTTTTGTTATAAGAAGGGATACCCAGCTTCCCTCCTTTAGCTTGAGCTGTGTGAAACCATCCTTTTCGGGGCAGCAGGGACCTTCCTCCCTGTTCAGAGGTCCAGCGAGGCAGCCAGCCACACCCAGATCAAGTAGATATTCTCATAATTTGCTAAGATCTAAAATGCTTTCCCAACAATGAGGTTTACACTGCCGGAGTATACAGTGGTTACAATTAATTGCCAAGCCACTGATACCAAAAGCAAACCTATCAACCGCTTAAGCCAAGCACAAGTCATTATTGAGAAATGGACATTAGATGTGCTACCAAACTGAAACACTGTTTGACACATCAGAAAATGGAATAGTCAGGCATTTAGCCCCAGTTGGTGTTTCAGATAACCTAATGCTTACTTGTGGGGAAAAAAAAAACAAAAACTGATAATATGACCATATTTCAGAATGGAGTTCATGGTTCATTGATGTTAGCAGAGACATTATATTGTCAAGGGTTAAAATATTTTGTAATCCCTGCTCATGCCAGATTTGGAAGCCAGCTTACCTGAGAATCGATACATCTTAGAGTATCCCGTCTCCTTCTGCTCATACACTCGCGCCCTTGTTCCTCTGCATTACAGCCAGCCCAGCCTCCTTTGAATGCCTCTGAGCCTCCTCCCACTGCAGACCTTGACCTCGGTATCCTTCCTTCACAGGATGGTTCTCTCTTCCTGGTCCCTCGAGGAGTCATTTCTGCAGTGATGCCTTGCTGACCTGCAGGAGATCTTACCTCCTTATCACGTGCCCTCTTAATGCTTCAGTACTTTCCACAGCTGCCATTAAAACAGGAAATTGTGTAATTAGATGTCCAGGGTGTTTCTCCCCATTCCAAGGAGGCTCAGGAATCACAACTCTGTTGTTCACCACACACATATGTAGTAATTAATACAACATAACAAGAAATATCCAAACAGTTCTCACTTCCCAGGGCATATTACTGCAAAGGCCTAAACATTTCCTTTCTTCACAGAAACATAATATTTTAGAGATTGTAGAACATTTAGATTTAGGAAGAATTCACTGGCAATTTTTTTGTTCAATTTTGGTGTGAAGACACCAGTGAATTCTATATTAGGTCAGCCATTATTTTTCCATCTTTCAGTGTATTGCTGTTTGCTAGTCAGTTTTCTGGTGAACTCACTTTTCCATTTCTCGATGACGTTCAGAAACCTGGTATAATACCTGCAAGAATTCCATGAAAAGAATTGATCTAGTTCATGGTATTAGAACCTTCTCGGTGTGGGTGTATGCCCTGAGAACAATATGATGATATTCTGGCACGTTTAGAAAAATCATGTTGAGCAAATACAGAGTTTCACATTGTAGGACCTGACCAACCAACTTAACACTGGGCAATGTTATTTAAATAGAAGTTTGACAAAGGAAAAGAAACTCTTGTTATTTAAGCTGTATGACATGAGGTTCTATTGTAAATAGAATCTATTTGTTGTCTAGATGGGAAAGAAATCTATGTACATAAATCCTTGTTATACCTACATGGATATACCCACCTACGTAACATCTGTTCCAGTAGTAAAAAAAATTCTAAGAGAAGAGATGTACCCCATTCATTGCGTACTTTAATAAGAATAACAGCTCAGATCAAAGAATTCTCTGCATTTATATGGAGTAACTGCTTAACGGTGAGCTCTTTGCACTTGACATTTGCAGATAGGCATAGTGGACCCAAATCAGAGCTTCTAAGAGCTCACTCAGATGACCTTGAGGGCAGGCAGTGGCAGCGGTACCACCTAGCCCCAGTTTTTGGTCTTTGGGTCTAGCTGAGCTGATTATTTTCCGATAAGCACAGGTTACTCACAAATAAGTACAGTTCACATTTTAAAGTATATCTTAAAAAACACACAATTACTGCTACCACTTACTACTATACATAGTCATAGAGACTGAAACAAAGCTTTAAGCCGCATCTAAAGGGGAAAATAGGATAAACTATTTTTAGTTAAGCTTGAAACTTTTTTTTTCAATTCTGGTTGAATCCACACCAAAATGAACAATGGAAACAAGGGAAAAAACAATTTAGGTTATGTTATTGAAGTGACTCAGCACGAGAAACAACTTATGCAGTGTTCCCATTAGATCACAGATGGTAGATGATGTACCATATTTTCAAAGGGCATACACTGTAGCATTCAACTTGAATTTGAGTTACAGATCTGCAGTTTAATAGTTATATGATGTTTGTTTGGTAAGTTACTTTACCTAGTCGAACCTCAAATTTTTTATCTATGACAATAAGTATAAATGCTCTCATACCGGACTGTTGTGAAAGATAGAAATGACACAACATGGATAGAACTTTTAGTACAGTATATAGCACACAGTAGGTACTCAGTCTATGTGCCTTAGTATTATAATTTGAACTATAATTAATCTCTAAGGAAAGAAATTTTAACTATAATTACTGCTGTAAAAACTTAAAAACATTTGTGGAGAATGCAAGTATGTGATATAAGAACTTTTGCAATAAATTGCATACTCCCATATAAAAATATTCAACAACTAAAATAGTCTCAAGTTAAAAAAAAGTGTTTATTTTTGCCTAATTTTTTAGTTCATGGTCAAACTATATCACGGTCTAATGTGGAAATAAAATATACAGCCATTACATTATCTGTGAACTTTTAAGGATGTAGTAGGCAAGTTTGGCTAAACTGTTCACTCCAGCCAGAAAAATAAAAGTTTGTCCAGTATTTCTGTCTTTGAGTAGTGTTTTAGGTGACAGCCACTAGCACCTCCCTTATCTTGGAATATTGCTTTTCAAGTCAAAGCTCACTCTCCAAACCTGCATTTCTGTATTTCTGTGTTTGGGCCAACACTTTTCCTTTAGATTTTCTTGTTGTCAGCCATCTCTCTTTTTGAGGATGCTAAGAATCCTGACGGTGTTTTCGTCACAGGATCCCGCTGGAAAGCTATGACAAACCTAGAGAAACAGCCATATTATGAGGAGCAGGCCCGTCTCAGCAAGCAGCACCTGGAGAAGTACCCTGACTACAAGTACAAGCCCCGGCCCAAGCGCACCTGTCTCGTGGATGGCAAAAAGCTGCGCATCGGCGAGTACAAGGCCATCATGCGGAACCGGCGGCAGGAGATGCGGCAGTATTTCAACGTGGGGTATGGCCCTTTCAATCAGCGTTTGTTCTCATGCGGGCAACTTGCTGTTATTCTCAGTAGGACACAAACCTATTTGTTTAGTTGGAAAGCAGCATTTTGAAAACAAAACCAAGCCTGATCTCCAAGTATTTGCAGAGACTTCGGTCTCTTATATAATCCTGAGAAATACAGCCATTGCTATCTCTTCGCCCCGATAGAAGCTGAGCTAACAGCTGGTTTGAAAATGAAATCCTGGGCCAAGTCAATAAGCTTCAGGTTTGCTGTTAAAAACTTAGAATTAGTACTGCTTCTTTCCTCATGGGCTTCCATTACTTTCAAGGATTCACTGTGATAAAGTCCACAGCTAACAACTTCGTTGAGATGACGAAACGTGAAAATGATTTCAAAAGAAACAATCATTTGTTTCTGACTACAAAAGGATTATTGAGCCATCAAGGCACATGCAGGGTCCTTGTGAGCCCCACAAAGTAGAAATTAGGTTTGGAGCACACCAAGGTTAAGAACGGGAAAGTTCCATTCTGAATTACTGTCCCGTCGTCCTATATGTATAGGACCTCAATAAAAAATTGAACAATAAGTGTAGCAGTCACTTTGACTTTGAAATAAATATTATGTCATTAAAGTATCTGCAGAATTGGAAACTTTGAACTCCATGAGTCAACACTGTAGCTCTCAGATGTTTTATTCTGCATTGCCACTGACAGTGGTGTACTGTGCAGCCTGCAACTGCATTGATACTGCAGAATTTTCTCAAAAAACACAAAAATAAGGAACAAGTGATTCTTAGACTAATAAATATTCATCGTGTTCTGAATATGGCCAGACGAGAAGTTAGGAAAAGAAAAACAAACCTTTCCGGTCTGCCCTGTCCCTCCCTTTCCTTGAGAAAGTCTCTGTCTGAGAGTCTGGTGTATGGGTTCAAGCCACAGCTAAACACACAGCCCAGCGCTTCTTGTGTGCAGAACCTCAACAACTATGATCTATTCATTCCTCCCCACTGGGTCCAGCGACCAGGTGGGGTCCCATGCAAAAAATGCAAGACATACCTTTGTGGAGAAGTACTAAGAATTATCGAAGCACCGATTCAAGGTCCGGCTGCTCTGCTTCTGCTCCAGCTTCCCGCTAGTGTACCTGGGAAAGCAACAGCAGACGAGCCAAATGCTTGGGTCCCTCTGCCTCCCCTGTTAGGGGACCTGGATAGAGCTCCAGGCTCCTGGCTTTGGCTTGGCCTGCTCTGGACTGTTGTGGCCATTTGGGGGTGAACCAACAGATGGGAGATCTCTTTCCCTGTCACTTTCCTTGCAAATAAATAAAGTATTTAGAAAAAAAGAATTTCAACATTGTGACACCAGAACTGTAAGCCAAGAATGGGAATCTAGGACAACTGTATAGGCTATATATATATATCCATGAAGCTGGCCCCAGAAATGACTTGTAACCTACAAAACACCATGTACAAGTTTAATGTAGGATACAACTAAAATTTTTTCCAATCTTCATTTTCCTTGAAAGGTAGAGAGGTCGAGAGCGAGAAGCAGAGACCTAGAGATCTTCCATCCACTGACTCACTACCCAAATACCTCCAACAAGCAGAGTTCAAGGTCACCCACTGCTTCCCAGGATACCAGATCATAAGTGGAGGCGGGATTTGAACCAAACCCGAGCTCTCCAATACTGAATATAGGTATCCCATGCGGCTCCCTTATTGCTGTGCTAGCTACCCACCCCACAATGTAACACTCATTAGGCAACTGGGAGAAAATCAGTAGATTAGAGCAGACCTCGCTAAGCAAGCTCCTTATGTAGGAGGACCTGCCTCTAAGTGTGCTCTCACTCACGACCTCTCTTGTGGAAATTTCTCTTTGGCAGGCAACAAGCACAGATCCCCATCGCCACTGCTGGTGTTGTGTACCCAGGAGCCATCGCCATGGCTGGAATGCCCTCCCCTCACCTGCCCTCAGAGCACTCGAGCGTGTCGAGCAGCCCCGAGCCTGGGATGCCCGTTATTCAGAGCACTTACGGTGTGAAAGGAGAGGAGCCACATATCAAAGAGGAGATTCAGGCCGAGGACATCAATGGAGAGATTTACGATGAATATGACGAGGAAGAGGATGACCCGGATGTAGATTATGGGAGTGACAGTGAAAACCATATTGCAGGACAAGCCAACTGATAAGGGTCGAAAGATTGTTGTGACCTTAGGACTTAAAGAAGCCCTAACTGGTTCATCCTTACCAGTGGCCAAGCACATTAACTTTCTCATACACTGACTGTTACTTTAACTGTTAGTCTTAAATAGTTGGGACATCAGCTGACTAATAGACCTCAGCCTCAAAAGGCTTGGAAAGGAAAACAAATACAACAAGCAAACAACAATATCAACAACAAGAGATTGAAATAAGCTATGGGTAAAATAATGCCAGTAATTCAGCTGCTACATCCAAGCACTGAAGTCTTACCCGTCAACTTTTTTTTTTTTTTTTTAATAAACTTTATGGCTGTTTGTTCTACAATGTTCTAGAAATTCTCACTCAGGTACACAGTGCCAACAAGTGGCTTGTGAATGTGTTTTGTTGTTTTGTGCTACAATTTTTAAAAGAACTAAGTTTCGTTTTGTTTTAGGGGTTTCTGGGTTTTTTTCTTTCCTTTTTCTTTCTTTTTTTTTTTTTATTGTTGTTGTTGTAATGCACCTGACAGAAAAAAAAAAGATGAATTTCTCTTTACTTCTCTCCACCTTGTCCATCTCTGTACTTTAAAGGTGGAAGTCTGTGCTTGGGAGGAAGAGGGAGAAAGAGCCTGTTTTTGACTTCCTTGCTGTCCACCACAAAATACGCAATTATTTTCTTTCGAGGACTTTCTTTATCTGTTGCACACCACACTACATCTTTGAGCAAGTGCCAAATTTGTACGGAAGTGTTGACCAAGTTCATTTTTTCCTTTTCCTTTTTCCTGTTCCTTCTTGAGTTAGGACAGTGTTATAACTTAGACAATCCCTTGAAAAACCTGAAATACCAGCAGCTGGTGAGATTTGACTTTTTTAAAAATGGAAACTGTAGGTGCTGTTCTCAGGTGATAAGAGAGAGAGAGAGAGAGAGAGAGAGAGAGAGAGAGAGACATAAGAAATTTAGAGAAAAAAATATTTTCTGATCTTGGATTTTTGTGTGTATGTATGTGTGTGATTATGGTACTAATAGGAATAACGTTGGACCATTGTGAGTTAAACCCACATCTGGGGATGAAATCCCACATCCTCCTAAGTGACTGGTCTAGAAGTAATCTTGACCTTGACTTTGCACTTCAGATGACAACTTAACCGAGTATAGGGCTCAGAAATTATATTTTTAAATTTCCAGTATGATTATTATTGGGTGGATCAGGTGGCCCTGTGTAATAGAGGTGTGCGTGTATAACATGGAAGCTTCTAGCAAACTGCTCCCAGATGTCCCTGCTCCCAGATCAATTGGTTCCACTGACGTTTGCTCCTTAGTGATTTTTGTTTTTCCTGTTGATACTTCGAACAACACAATCATCGTGTTTACTGAATACATTTGGCCTTTTTCCAGAAATATAGAATCGGCTTATTTCTGTTGGCATTCCACCCTGTCTTGACTAGGAAACAAACTCGACGTTTTTTAGAAGATATTTCTCATCTCTCCATGAAATGAGGTGGAGGCCTTTTGCATTTCACAAGTGTGGCCCATGCACATTTTGTGCCATAAAAAGCAGAATTTGATTAAGTCACTGCAGCCCAACCACATGGAGCCTGGCTGACCCAGTGATCCTTGCCAGCACTCTTCCCTTACCATGAGATGAATCTGCTAAAGTCCACCGTTCGGTGCCAGCGGAGGGTGTGTGCAGTTCAACAGCTGACTGTGATGGGGCTGCTTCCTTTATTGTGCCAGCCAAATGCCAAGGCACTTGAAGGGCCTGTACAAATAAATGCAAAATCATTTCACGTCAATTGCCATTTTTGTGTTGAAGCATCAGTCAGTTCTCCAACCAGAAGCCTGAATGTGCTTTGGTTTTTGCTGCATTCATCATTGGCCTGTCTCAATCCACCCCCCAAAACACCATCCTAAATTTTGATTTTTCTTTATATAATAAGTTAGGAAAACTCCCTCCCCCCCTTTTTTTTCTCTCTCTCAGAAGACTTGCTCTGGGGTTTTGCTTGGAGGAGCTGATCATACCCTGCATGTCAGAGATTTTGTTTGTTTTTCTGTTTGTTTTTGATGACTGTATTTTCATTTGAACTGCCTCTTTTTGCTAGTGTTGTAATAATGATGATAAAATAATAATAATAGTAATAATAATAATAATAAGGTCAGCTGTTCCCAGATTAGTAAGTTATGTATAATTTATTTTATTTCTCCCTATTTTATTCTCCTCTGATTTGGAAGTGCAGCCAATAAGCTGTTAGATATTTAAAACTAATATCCATCTCCAACTCATATATATATATATACACATATACATATATGTGTATATATATATGTATGCACACACACATGTTCACCCATACAATTTTACTTTTCTTCCATCAGTTTTTTCCTTTCTAAAGATTTTTGGCCCCAACAATGTCAGTTCTGGTGTTTAATACAAAGGAGTGAATTAATAGGAGGGTCATGTTCAGTCTTAATTAACTTATGCTCTCATCACTCATTTTAGTTATTTAATTGCCACAGTCATCTAGAGCCAATTTTTGTTGTTGCTGTTTTTGTTTGTTTTGTTTTTAAGCACTCTGGATAAGAAAAAAATAGACACTTGTTTTTATATCATTTATTATGTACAATGTGAAAGCAGATTTTTAAAAAATTTGTTCTCTGTCTTTGTTAACGAATTTCTTCTGACTTATGTGGGTTCACTTTTCACGTTTGCTGGATACTTATTTTACACCATGTTATAAGGATGCTTTGTTTTCATTTCATGACTTTGGGCTACAAGAATACTACTTTGTTTTAGCTCCAGGTAAATGCCACTGCAGGCATTCTGGCTGAAACCGATTCTAACACACCAGTGAATTGACAAAACACTTCTGTTCGCTCTTTTGGTTTGTTTGTTTACACTTTTGCTTTATTTGAAGGGGAAAACAAAATTGTTAATGGTGACCTTTAGCTGCTGAAATTCAGAAATTAACTTTACGCAGTTAGATTTATGCCCCAGACTAAAACCCTACATGAGCTGAAACAAAAAGCAAGTTCAAAGCCCTGTATTGTATTCTCTTGTTCTAAAATTTAATTCACTGTGTGTCAAAATTTCTGTGTCCTAGTTTTCTCAAGAAAACAAAAATAGAAATAATCATATTAATGCTTAAAGTGCTTTGAAGTCACTTGATAAAAGGTGCTGTGAATAGCAACTTAACTGTGTTAACACATTGCCGCCTTGGCGTTTGATTGGTTTATGATTTCGGGAAGAATTCAAAAACTTTGTATTCTCTTTCTGTGCCCCAGGATGACCAAAAAAAGATAAGGAAGAGGAAATGAGAGTAAGATCAAACAACAATAAACATGAACAGCCTCCTCCCTCTCTCCTGTCCTACCTGCCTATTACGCCTCTCTCCTCTCTGTGCACCCCCAACGCTCACAAACACACACACACACACACACACACACACACGCACACTCTCACCCTTACTCCCACACTCAGAAATAATCTTTTCTGGTTTGTGTAGTTGCTGTAATCGGTTTCTCTAAAATAGTCACGTTTTGATATGAAACTAAGAAAGTATCACTGGAGAAAATAGGTTAAAGTTGGCTCATGTATAAGCTAATAATTTACAATTAGATAAAATATGAAACTATTCTTCAGTACATTTATACCTAAATTAGTTAAGTTGACATCTACAGTTCGAGAATTAACCATGTGTAAAATCTCCCCCAAAGAACACAACCGTCATTGTTGAAACCAAATCCTCTTACAAGGGACAAATATAAATAAGTTTTCTTTGATGAAACTATTTCATAGATTTTATACGTGGAGTAGAATTTTACCTTAATTCTTTCAAAGAAAATTATCTTTAATGATTTCATCATCCAATTTCAGATATTTTCTTAATCCAGAAGCTGTTATGGTTCCCAGAAGAAACCTCTTATATCAAATGTCAGAAATAATTACAGCTGCATTCATTTTAATGGGTAAATTATTGAATTGTAATAAAACAACTGTATATTTACAAACAGGTTTATAAAATATTTGTCTATCAAGTTAATAGTAAAATAAAAATGACCAAGTTTGCAAGGAAACAAGAAACCCACTTAAAGTGGTTCAGATATCTATCTCTCTGTCTTCTAGGGCATAGGTGTTTGTTTAGTCAAGCTTTTGCAGTATTTAATTTTAAAGATTCCTTTAACTATCAGTTTCCCAGGTTGAAGATGATGTGTTGAGTTTTCTACTGAATGATTTCTGTCCTCCCCAGTGTTCCTATCACTGGTTCATGAAAACAGTATTTATACAGCTCCACTGGCTCTAAAGTTCTTAGTCCTTCTAACATTTTGGATTTTACAAATGAAAATGGAAAAAGAGAAGACAGACAATCAAATGCCTGGAGCTTAAAACAAAGTATGTGCAACCTACCATCTCACTTGAAATTTAATAAAATAAATAATTATGTAAATATAACATAGAGTTATAGATTTATATTTTGTTCATAACACATAGTGTAATATAAGTTGTATATTTTCATGTTTTTTGGTTTTCTGTTATCATTCATGCCACAATAAAAATAAAACAGGAGTTTATGTACTCTTAAAAAAAAAGAAGTGGGTTGCCATCAACCTGGTTTTTTTTTTTTTTTTTTTTTTGGTTGTTTTTGTTTTCTGGGTTTTTGGTTTTGTTTTGTTTCGTTTTTTGCCTTCTCTCTTTTTTTTTTTTTTTCAGTATTACCGCCATGCAAGGCACCAATAAAAACAGCAAATGTGTTCTCTATCTCTTATGCTGTGTTTCCTTTCACGATTCCTGTTACAAAGGAGCAATCCTTAGTTTTATCATGTAAGGGACAGACGTATGGAAACTAGTTCAGTGTTGTGTTCAGTAAAAAACAGCCTCACTCACCGAAGCTGATTTTGATCTGAAAACTGAGGGTCTAATTCTTAGACGTGGCCCTTCCCGGAAGGACAGTCAGAACGTGTTATGGTGCACCTCACTCAGACAGGGATCCAGACTCAGTGCGATGTCAAAAGGTATCTCTCTGATATGTAAGTGAGACTAATACACTTGAAAACCCAACCGCCTGCAGCACGGTAGTGGCATGTCCCTTTCTGGATGTTGTTATTAGATGTGAGTGGGGCTTCTGTAAGTTAAAGTTATCTTTCATCCTTTTGTTTGTCTAGAAATACTCCAGAATTTCAGGTCATGAAATTGCTGAGATTTATAAGTGAATTTTATTCCACTGGTGTCTACTTTTGAGACATGCATGTTTCCACATTGCTTAACACTCTGTCATGAGCCTTTGGATTCTACCTTTTACTGATGCTAGAGATGAGACGTCTCCTTTCATCCCAATGGCCATTTCTGCTGTCTCTTTCTCCACACTATGTCTTTCTATCTTGTTCTGTGTATTATAGTTTTCTGTAAGGGTTTCGTTTATTTGGGTGTTTGTTTTCTTGGCATTTTTTTTCCCTCTCTCTCTCTATAAACACACATATATACATATAAAGATACTAGATCAGTTAACATCTGATTCAAATGAATATAAAGTAAGTATATAAAGAGGGTCTGTTCTCCTAACACTTTGCCCCCTGTCTCCCTGAACAGAAGTGTTTTATGAAGTCTGGTCCACGGGCCACCTGATTCTGAATTAATGGTTACAAATGTAGATTCCTGGGCCCAACCCAGATAGAATGAACCAGAATCTCTGGGGGCAGAAACAAAGCTCTTGCTTTTGAACAACTCCAAAGATTTCTTCTGCTCGCTCTGATGTTCCCATCAACCAGGAGGTGGGGCTGTTTACCTCTGACTTCTACCTACCTTTGCTTCTGCATGTGACGTTCTGCAGCTCACACTGCCTACCATCCCTCCCCTTTACCCTTAGGCCTGAATGGAGGCAAGAGCTTGAGCTTTTATAAAGAGCTCCCAATCTCTGCCATCATATACCTCCAGTTTTGAAGGCACTTGGTCCATCCGTCTGTCTCCCGCACCAGCTTCCGGTGATGTTCGTCCTGGCAAAGCAGTAGGCTTCGGAGACTTCCGGTGTGTGGAACCAGGAGAATATAACTGAAATGTAAAAGTACAGCCCACCTAATATTTGGGTAACACAGTGAAAGGGAAATACCCATTGCAGGAGTTGAGAAATGTTTCTAACAGACCACCGGGGGCCACGCTGTTCAAATTCTCATCCTAAGTTTCTGCAGGACACCGCGCACCATTACCAACATGAGCCAAGTGTTTGTGGATGGGGAGAATCTTGTGAGTTAAGGCAAACTTGGCTCACCCGAGATGCAAAGCTCCAAACACCATCCTCTCTTCTACCAAATAAAGTTCCCTTTGTTTTGTCCTGTAATATTCCGACTTAGAAACACTCTTTTGTCGACCTGTGTTTTAGTTTCTTATGGCATAGCTAGGACGACACACATTGAATTGCTTTCCTACTGCCGATGCCTTGAACAACCAAAAAAATCCACTGGCAATAGTGAAAACCCCATTTGTGTTTTTTGTTGTTGTTTTTCACATTTCAGTTTGGGCGATTTTACTTGTTGGTGTCTGAGGAAATTATTGTGACAGGATACTGTCATTCTTACCAAATTTAGAAGTTCTGAAATCGTCTCCACCTGTAACCTCACATCATCCCTGCAACCTCAGTTCTAACAATGGACGTGACCGTAAGCATGAATTAGTTCAATGTCTCAAAGATCATTTATGAAAAAAATTCAATTTATTTTCTTGAGTTTCTAAAGCAATCTAATAGCTAGCTGAGAAGATCTGTTTTATAAGCAGTAAGCCTTGTAATTAGTATGTAAAGTGTATGCAATAGTATGGCTAAAAGTTCTCTAAACTAGTTATGTTTTCTTAAGCAGGCTAAACATCTGACCTACCATTTTTAGTTATTCTATCAATAACTGTCACAAAGAATGAGCTGCTTCAGCTCTGATCACAATATATCATCATCTCCCCATGAGTGAGGTCCCAATACATAAGACTTTACTCTCTTTCCTGCCCATTTTAAAGACACAAACCAATATGGAATGGAATGGTACTTTGTCGCTATTCAGAAATCTAACCAAGAGGTTGAAGGTTGTGTTATCATGGATGTCTCCATTGATGAAACAGGAAAAAATAAAACAAACTTCCAGAATAACTGTAGGGATTCAGGAGGCCTAAGTAAACACCACTTTTTTGTATATTGCCTGTTCAATTTATTATTAAATTTCAGAACCTGGAAAGCAATCTTAATTACACACAAACTGTAAAATATATTTGAAATAAAGTCTTTTGTTTATAAAAGTCACGGCTGTGATAACATTCTGTATGAATTCCTGCGGCCCTGGGAGGACGTAGGGGGCGCACAGGACTATTCAGATAATTGTGCTGCAGACAGTTCACTCAGCTGGCTTCATGGTGAGCCCTCAGAAGGCACTCATTTTGCCTTACCTCTCAAACCTACAGCTGCTGAGAGTACAAGTTCATGACTTGTGGTGCCATGATCTCGAGTTCTTCTCATGACCACAGTCTCTTAAGTGGACCCCAAGTCATTACACAACTTGTTCCATTTATTTGGAAATAGCCCTTCGAGAACAGTATCTTCTACTTAGTTACCATACAACAGTAAAATTTATAATCTGCATGCTGGTGGTGGGTCTTTTTCTTTCTTTCTTTCTTTCTTTCTTTCTTTCTTTCTTTCTTTCTTTCTTTCTTTCTTTTTTTTTTTATGTGTTTCTGAGGGAGCAGGTCTGTTTAATATTTGGAAAATAGTGAAATCGCTGGTGATACAGCATTTGGATACAAATGCTAACTACAGATTTCCTTTTTTTTTTTGATTTTGAGAGACAAAGAGCTTGCACCTGACAGTTCACCCCCAAACACTTATAACAGCTGGGGCTGGGTCAGATCAGAGAACTCAATCCCAGGTCTCCATGTGAGTGACAGGATCCTACCCAATCACTTGAGCCATCACTGCTACTTCCTAGGGTGTGCTTAGCAGGAAGCTGTTGTCAGGAGCCAGAGCTGGGCATTAAACCCAGGTCCTCTGATACAGACTGTGAGTGTCTTAACTAGTCCAAACAACCATCTAATTACAGATTTTGAGGAGAAAATGTTAGATGATCCTTATTAAAGAGGTACTAGTTTCTTCCATACCCACTCATTGCACAGATCTGAATTTTTATATTACAGTCGACTGCGTCACCTATGTCTTAAAATTCTTGCTCACAAAGTCCTCTGTTGGAGACCATCTCTGTCTCCTATTGTCATAGTAAAAACTTTAAAAGTCACTTAATTTTTTACACAATTCAAGATTTCCAAAGATTATGTTGGCAAACTTTGAGAAAGCTTTGTAAATATTACACTTTAGGGGCAAGTTTTAAACACACAAAGGCTAAGCTTGTACCATGGAAAGATAATTAGGAAATTTTATAAATAAAAATAGAACTCAGGGAATGTGAATGAAGCAAAAAAGAACCTTAGAAGGTTGTGCGCTTTGCCTTTCCTTTCTCTTAATGATGAATATTAAGCAAATATAAGTGAATGATGCTAACTTGGTCCACCTGGCAATAGAAAGCTTAATTTAACTCTTCCAAAGGTAGTGAGTCACTGGACAACAAGGTCATCATAGTACATTTCTGTCACTTCAGAGGCTCTGCCACCCATTCTTACATCTGGTGCATCTTACCCAAGTGTAATAATGCCAACACAATGAACACCTAGCAAATAGACAAAAGGTAGAAAATATTTTTAAAAACCACACATATACCTATGCACTAAGCACATTTCAATTTGAGGTTTGTAAAGAAACAATGAAAAGATGGTTCAAAACAATTTTGAACCCTGTTTGTAGTATTTTTCATAATATACTTTCTCAATGAACTTTTTAAAAATCCCTCATGTACCCAGATTTCAAATTTTGGGGACCAGAACAAACTGATCTTTTAAGCCCATTTCCCATAAACCTCTCCAAGTACTCTCTCGTCTGTGTGTGTGCGTGTTCACACTAGCTGATGAGGACACTTCAGTCACCACATAACAAACAATTCTTATTT